GTGGACGTGGTCGCGGTCGTGAGAGTCAACACGGTTGATATACCCCTTACAATTGCCGCAGTTTTGACATTAACAGGATGCAGAGTAAACCCCAACATGGAGATATAGCCGAAAAGGCTAAACAGGGAAAGAGACAAATCGGCAGTTGTAATCGGTGTGGCATTGAAGGCCATTGGGCCAATACCTGTAGAACAGCCAAACACCTAGCCGATCTTTATCAAGCCTCACTGCAGAAAAAAAGGGAAGGAAATCAAGATTAATCACGTTGATAATGATGACGACCCCGATGATGATCTTTTGGATTACGACACAACGCATCTTGATATAGCGGATTTTGTCGTAGATCCAGCAAATCCCCAGTGATAGACATATTATGTCATTTTACATTATGTTTTGTAATATTTAAATTATCACATATTACCTTTTTATAATACATTTTGTAATACTTACATATGCCTTTATTAATACTGTGTTTATTTATATTTGAAGGTTAAATGGATGTCAATCAAAATGATGCAAATATGTGTTTCATTGACAGTGCAACGATACATACTATATTAAAACACGAAAAATATTTCTCCCATTTGAAAAGGGAAAAGATGAATATCAATACAATAAGTGGCAGTTCAAAATTAATTGAAGGCTCTGGAGAAGCCATTATATTTCTTCCGGCGGGGACGAAAATTGTGATACAGCATGCACTATTGGCCACTAAAGCTTGAAGAAATTTACTGAGCTTTCATGACATTCGGAAAAATGGTTATCACATTGAAACTATGAGTGATACCGATGGTGAATTTTTATTGATCACCAATATCATTGATAAAAGGAAATGCATCATTGACAGATTACCCTCACTCTCTACTGGCTTATATTATGCCAGATTAGATGTTGTTGAAACACACCTCACGGTAGATCAAAAGACTACTGATTTTCAAATATGGCATGATCGCCTTGGGCATCCTGGCAGTATAATGATGAGGCAAATAATTTAGAATTCGCATGGCCATTCATTAAAAGATCAAAAAGTGTTAAACTTAAATGAGTTAACCTGTGTTGCCTGCACTCAGGGAAAATTGATATCAGGCTATCGCCAGCTAAAGTAGGTATTGAATCACCTACATTTTTGGAAAGAATAAACGGGGATATATGTGGACCAATAGACCTACCGTGTGGGCCATTTAAATATTTTATGGTGTTTATTGATGCATCTACGAGATGGTCCCATGTATGTTTATTATCTACTCGCAATGTGGCATTTGCGAGATTGCTTGCCCAAATTATTAAATTACGGGCACAATTCCCCGATAATCCAATTAAGACAATACGTCTGGATAATGCTGGTGAATATACATCGAATGCATTTGATGATTATTGCATGTCGATTGGAATTAATGTAGAACACCCAGTTGCTCATGTCCATACACAAAATGGTCTGGCAGAATCATTTATTAAAATAATGCAATTGATTTCTAGATCATTATTGATGAGGTCTATGTTGTCCGTTTCAGCTTGGAGGCATGCAATCTTACATGAAGGAACACTTATAAATATGAGCCAACAAGCTATCATAGTTATTCCCCAATGCAGTTAGTATTTGGTCACGAACCAAATATATCTTATCTACGTTTTTTGGGTGTGCTGTTTATGTTCCTATTCCACCCTCCAAACGTACAAAAATGGATCCTCAACGTAGATTGGGCATTTATGTCGGATATGAATCGCCGTCAATTATAAAATATCTTGAACCTATGACGGGCGATTTATTCACTGCAAGATTTGCAGATTGTCATTTTGACGAATCATATTTTCCGACATTAGGGGGAGACAAAAACGAACCGAAAAGGGATATTAATTGGAAAATCCCTTTGAATTTTTGTGATCCTCGTACAAAGCAGTGTGAACTAGAAGTTCAACGCATTATACATTTGCAAAATATTGCAAATCAGTTACCAGATGCATTCAATGACTTGAGCAAAGTCACTCGATCATATATCCAAGCTGCTAATGCTCCAGCTAAAATAATTGTCCCTGATGGACAAATTGCAAGTGCTAATGAATCAGCGACACGCTTAAAGCGTGGTAGACCACTCGGTTCCAAAGATAAACACCCTAAAAAAAAGGAATTAATGATGATAATCATGAAAATATCAGGAATGACATTGATAAACCTCAATCTAACGAGGAAGTCAACGCTGAAATAATTGCTCCAGAAGAGCACGATCTTGAAGAACATGATGAGATTATTGAAAACTCAATTAACTATATTACTTCAAGAAAATGTTGGAACCGTAAAGAGACAATTATTGATAATGCCTTCGCATACAATTTAGCACTTGATATAATGGAAGAAAACGAGGATTCAGAGCCAAAATCGGTTCATGAATGTCGGCAAAGAAATGACTGACCAAAATGGGAACATGCGATTCAATTAGAGCTTGACTAATTAAACAAAAGAGAGGTCTTCGGACCAATTGTTCAAACACCAGATGGTATAAAACCAGTTGGATACAAATGAGTGTTTATACGAAAAAGAAATGAGCATAATGAAATTGTGAGATATAAAGCCCGTCTTGTAGCTCAGGGATTCTCACAAAGGCCTGGAGTAGATTTTGATGAAACATACTCTCCAGTTGTTGATGGAATAACATTTCGATACCTTGTGAGCCTAGCAGTGCGAGAAAAACTCGATATGCGTCTTTTAGACATAGTCACTGCATATCTTTATGGCTCATTGGATACTGATATTTATATGAAAGTCCCTGAGGGATTCAATATGCCTAAAACATACAAATTAAACCAAAGGGAATCATATTCCATCAAATTGAAAAAGTCATTGTATGGACTTAAACAATCAGGACGAATATGGTATAACCGTCTGAGCGAATGTTTAATAAAAGAAGGTTATACTAATGATCCAATATGCCCATGCGTCTTTATAAAGAAAAATGGATCAAATTTTGTCATTATTGCTATATATGTTGATGATCTCAATTTAATTGGAACTCCTGAAGAGATTCAAATTGTAGTTGAATATTTAAAGAAAGAATTTGAGATCAAAGATTTTGGAAAGACAAAATATTGTCTGGGTTTACAAGTGGATCATGCGAACAATGGAATATTTATCCATCAATCCACATATACCCAAAAGGCATTAAAATAATTTTATATGGATAAATCTCACTCTCTGAGTTCACCAATGGTGGTCAGATCCCTTGATCCCAGTAAAGATCTATTTAGGCCAAGAGAAGAAAATGAAGAGATACTTGGTCCCAAGGTACCATATCTGAGCGCTATTGGCGCATTAATGTACCTCGCAAATTGTACCGGGCCAGATATATCTTTTTCAGTAAATCTACTGGCCAGGTTTAGCGCATCCTCCACAAAGCGCCATTAAAATGGTATCAAGCACATTTTTTCGTTACCTTCAGGGGACTCATGACCTCGGTTTATTTTATTCGAGTGAATCTCGAAATGAATTAATTGATTATGCTGATACTGGTTATCTTTCTGATCCTCCCAAAGCAAAATCTCAAACTAGCTATTTGTTTACTTGTGGTGGAACCGCGATCTCTTGAAGATCTGCTAAATAGACGATAATAGCTACTTCTTCAAACCATGCTGAGGTTTTAGCAATTCACGAAGCCAGTCGTGAATGAGTTTGGTTAAGGTCCATGACTCACCATATTCAGAAAAATTGTGGCTTAATTACCGATGATATATTACTTCCTACAATATTATTTGAAGATAATGTAGCTTGTATAGCTCAATTAAAAGGAGGGTATATTAAAGGCGATCGGACAAAGCACATATCTCCGAAGTTCTTTTTCACTCATGATCTTAAAAAAAGTGGTGAAATTGATGTGCAACAAATTCGATCTTCTGAAAATTTTGTAGACTTATTTACGAAGGTGCTACCGACTGCAACATTCAACAAACTGGTGCAAGGAATTGGAATGCGTCGGATGTAAGACATCAAATAAATTTCAAAACAGGGGGAGCGTATTAATATAAGAATGATGTACTCTTTTTCCTTCACTATGATTTTTTCCCATAGGGTTTTTTCATAGTAAAGTTTTAACGAGTCACATTTTTCGTATAAAAACATCCAAAGATGAGTGTTATGAAGCGTACACGTAGTAACTAGGTAGATGTTATTTGGATGCTTTATATACTATATACATAGTAAGTGCGTTGATAAGTTGTTGTATATTATTAACCACAAATGTCATTTATTACTATGCTATAAAAACCCAATTCAATGTAATGAAATACGCAAGCGGAAGTCTCATCCCACCAAAAACTTCATTCTCTTCCTTCTCTTTCTCAATTTACCCACCCAAAACTTCATTCTCTTCCTTCTTACTTACATACATATATATATATATATACTCTCACACACACACACTTCATTCACACACTACTATCACCATATATATATATATAATCATTACATCAACATATAGTGTATCTATAATATACACTATATATATATATACTATTATACTTACCGAATATAATATTTATTATATAACACTTTCTTGATAAAAAAAATATTGCTCCACTTTTTAAAGAATGCAAAGTCTTCTCCAAAAGACAAGGAGGAAATTACACCACGTGACTCCAGTTATAGAACTGGTTGGACATGTTCTAATATGAATATGGATTTAGCTTAGTTCTCTCCATTAACATCTATTCAACTGAGGAGTCGAAGGGATAAAGTGTTGGACTCTTAATTATTATTTTTTTAAAATTTTATGTAATATATGTATAATTTTTAAAATTTAGATAATTGGCTATTATCATTAATTTAATAAAAAAATTACTATTAAAATGATTTATTCCGACCTTAAAAATATGATTATTTCTAAACGTATAAGTTATTATTATTATTATTTTTTTCATATTAAAAGTTCAAAGGAGAAAAACAAACTGAAAATTTAACTATTTGTACTTTTTATTAAAAAAAAAAATAATCGTACTTCACTGCAATTATGATATGCAAATAAATATCTTATAAAAATAACAAAAGATGTGAGCATCAGTCCAAAGAAATTTTGGGATAGACTGACTGAGTGACGATAGGCAGCATAGCAAGTCGGACTAGTGTATGTATGTGTATGCTTACAAAGTATATGAATGAAAAACCACATTCTTGCTACCAAGGAAATGCAAGGGAAAGACTTGCTTATTTCAACTTACCCGCAACCTCAACATTAACATCAACATCATGATCGTTCGCTTGGAAAAAATCCGCAACCGATTTGTAGTCCTCGTCATCAACCTCATGATGAGCCGTAGCTGTAGCTGTAATTTCCGCCTTGTCTATCTTCTCATTTGTCGAATTGGAATTTAAATTTGAGTTAGGAAGCTTGGAATCTGAATTGGCAGCGGATACTGCTGGGGGCTGTGACGATCTTTCTGTTTCTGTATCCATCTTTGAATGAGCCATGTTTTGTTTGTTGTCTTCTGTCATCATTTCTGCGGGCTGTGATGATCTTTGGGACTTGGTATCCATCATGGAATGAGCAGTGTTGCGATTGTCGTCTTCCCTCATTTCCTTGGCGTACTTGTTGATGTCAAACTCGGAGCTGTCCTTTCCACCAAAGGCGGATTCAACCATTTCCATGTTGAACATGTCTTCCATGAACTTGCTTGTGCTGGAGTCGCCGGAGTAGACGAATCTGACTTTATTGGCTGTCTTTGGATCGAGAAAGGGCTTCACTATCTGAAAAAATTCACCCGAGTTCAATTTAGTGATTGTGTTTCCACTAATGGTGTTGAAAAAGCCACACATCGAAAAAAAGAACAAAAATAAGGTCATGATTATAAGATACTCTTTCTGTTCACAAAATTATGATTGTTTGTTTGGACATTAGATCAAGAAATAACAATATTTTATTATAAAAATGAAATTGTAATAGATAAAACGGAGATATTGAAATAAAGTTATTAAAAGATTGATATAAAGATAATAAGATAACTATAGAAATGAATGGCACATGGACTATTATTTACTAAATTATGAAATAATATACTTATGAGCTTATAAAAGCTATTTACTATATAAATATAGTGGACAACAAAAAAAATAAGACGTGACTTTTGATAAATGAAAGGAGTAATGTCTAATCCAATTTTGTAACAGGAGGCTTTTTGGGAACTCTAAAAAATTAATTCATGCGGGCCCATAATATTATACTAATGTGGGACGATAATATCATACTAATGTGGAAGTTAGACCACTCCTAACAAATTGGTATCAGAGTAAGTTGAAAAAAAAAAAATAGTTGGTGGACTAGCAAAATTGCCTTTTGGGGAAGTCCAAAAAGCAAATGACGTATCCTAAAAGAAATGGATTGATTCTTGAATCCGATTGAATCCAACTTTCCATTATGGAAGAAAGACATCATACTAGTGTGAACCTTGGGTTTAAGAGAAAATGCTTTAAAGCTTAGCACAGATATGCATGAAGTTGCACATTTCACTCATTAGATGCCTAAACACAGAGACACATGCGTGCAAGGAGATCGGTGAGTAGATAAATACCTTCCAGAATGGTTCAAATATCTTGGGAGGATCATACAGAATTGCAAGGCAGAGTCTTTCCGGGTAATGATCCTGCAGGATGTTAGCTGTCTCTCGTGTCGCCTTCGCTGATATATTTGACATAGAAAATCCACGGAAATCGACCAACCAAACCATCTGCTCTTCACCCTCGGGAAGATCGGCTATTGCATTCTCCATGCAGTAAACCAAATGCTTAATTTGGCCCCTTGTGGACTTCGAGTTCTGTAGAGGTATTAAAATTACAAAATGAGTGGATATGTCTCACTAATAAGTCCATCTACCATGTTAAGCCAAACAAACTTTGCAAATTTATTCAGTTAAGATGATCGGTACAAGTAAAGACAGATGCATTTGAAAACAGTGTAATAGTTGCAGTTCAATGATGGAAATTTTAGGGTAAAGAAGAACACAGAGATGTAATTGAAATGCTCGAAAACTGGAGTGACTTTCGAGTCTAACCTGGCACCGGGGTCTCATGACAAGAACAGGCCTCCCATACTTGTCTTTATACTTTGATCTGTAAATTTTTCCAGTTTCTGCTTCCTTTGCGACGTCATCCTAAGTGAATGATGAACATGCACCAAAAAGTGTGAATGAGATATGAAACTACTAGTTGTAATACACCTTCTCAAGACATCAATATTAATGAATATATTTGAGTCGAAATGATGAAGAACACCGAACTCCAGAAGGAAGAATATATCAAAAGACGTAATGGAAAAACCATTGCAGGCAAAGGAGCAGATTTAGCCCTGGAGAAACTGCATATGTCTAGTTTAGTTTCAGGGTATAGCAAAAGTTACTTTTAGTTCTACAATTAAAAATTTTGAATTCAGTTACAGACAAGTTTCAATTAACTATTAGTTTTCAGGGTTTTTTTAAGATTGATGGGAAAATAATTAAAGACTCTGCATGATAATTTCTATCAATATTTACAGCTTCAAATCATGAATCTAAAATTCTTATTGCATTTTGCTAATTCATGGAGACAAATTTTTCTGTACAATACCCTACAATGTGTAAAAGGCAACTCTTGTTATTTTAAAAAATTAAGCAAGACAAAGTTTCAGTGTTTACTATTCCGAAAGGTTTAGGGGAAGTACCCAAACAATCTCTTCTGGCTTGAACTCAAGCCTCCACTTGACAGTTGCTTTAAGCATTTTACTAGCTTTCTTGACATTCCAATTCCGAGCTCTCAAGTATCTCAATATAGTCTCATCCGAACAAAACAAGTCTAGTTTTCCAGACTGCGTACCAATCAGCTTTCTGACCTCCTTAATCTGAAACAGACACCTTAGTCCAAATACAGGCATACATACAATCTATACATTTTTCACTGCAACTGGTTAGCTAATAATCTAAATACCTTAGCCTGATGCACTTCTGAAGATAAGGAATTCTCACCGCCATCAAGAGTGGACTTCTTCACATCCATGTTCATAATTCTCGAAGCCTTCTCTCTTCTTCTGTCAACAAAAATGTAAATTCTTACAACATGCAAATATATCATAAGCAAAACAGAGAAGCATATCTGGTAAGTAAACTATATGCATCAGCTCCTCTGACTTTCTTTTCGCCATTGAACATCAGGGTAGGTGGTAAGTTTTTCGTTGCTATCCATTAATTAGATCATAATGCAACTTCAAGATATTTAGTGCAACTAAGTTGTAGAGTGGTCCTAAACTCTGGGTTAAGTACTGCTAAGATGTCTAAGTTCTTAATTCAGCAGTAGATACTAAGCAGATCCTTACAAACATAGTAGGAAAACCAGAGGCTACAGGCAACCCCATTTAAAAGGGTCTGTGTTTATCATATATGATGTATCATTTTGAACCTTAATTCCTCAAAATAGCATAAGGTAAATAATACCCATTGGTAGCTGAAGCAGAAACAGAGCTTCAACTCACATTATTGCAATAATTGAATCAAATCCAATTAGCATTTGATTTTCCACAACCTTACTTCAGCTGTTCAAACATGACCAAAATGCTGCTGGAAATACATGCGAGAACTGTTAACTTCATCAATCCCTAATTCAATATTCAGTCACATCTACCCTTCTATGGTTAAATTAAGCACATTTGAAAAGGCTTTGTCAATTCTAATATTCAAGAACTCAGTAATTGTTCAAATTTCCACAAGTTAGGGTTACAATTTTCAAAACAAAATATACCAATTAAAGATTTTCAGAATACTGACTCAACTGCTAGTTTGAATGCACAAACTCACAGTTCATAGCAAAATTCGAAACATATGTAATTGAATAGACTCGAAATCCGTCTCCAAACATTTCACGAACATTGGCAATCGAATCCTCAAACAAAATCAAAATCAGCGTCAGAAAATTCTATATATGCAAGACCACACAAAATTAATCATCGCAGCAAAAAGGAAGAAGCGCATCAAATATTGAAAGCATAAAAGGAATTCCAAATTACAGCTTCCTAAGATTTCTCAGAAGAAGAATATGCAAAAAGTAAAAATCATAAAATGACAAGTACCTGATTGCAGAGCTTGCTTTGGCGTGAAGGATGAATTATCCAAATGGCTTTGGAAGAGCTTCACGTAAACGCAGAAGCTACCAAAATTGTGAAGGTTGTCACCATTCTATTCTATTGTTATTGAATAACCAAATATGGTAGTCGGCATTGTCGTTCACCATGATCGCCACCAAGATTCAAATTGCCTTTCCAAATGATTTCGTGGAAGCCATTGTCGCAATTGCGAAGGAAAACCGAAGAAGGAAAATTGCATGACGATGAGCTCGTTTCCGTAGCCTTTGATTTCGACCATTTCAATGAAGACCAGACACAATATTGATACATATAGTACTCCTGAAAGCGTGCCTACGCCACGCCACTTGTTTTTTGGTCTGATATTTTTCGAAGGAAGCAGTTGTTATATAGGTAGGTATACCTCCTGAGTTGGCATGCGCCTTGGTTTGAACGTCGGGTGGTCGATAGTTTTGTAGCTAGTTTTGTAGTTTGTCATTTGGGTCATTTGTTTTGTCGCTTTGGTGGGGGCGGTTATTGGACTGGGGTAGGTCGGTTGGTATAAGGTCGAGCACGGAGGTCGGACAAGAAAAGGTCAGATACGAAGGTCGGACAAAATAAGATCGGACAAAATAAGGTCGGGATGGAGGTCGGACAAGATAAAGTCGGACAAGATAAGGTCGGACACGGAGGTCGGACAAGATAAGGTCAGACGTGCAGGTTGGAAGAAGGATACAACGTATTGAAAGTTACCAAGATCAAAAGAACTAAATATGGAGATAAGAGTGTAAGGAAATGAAGATAACTTACGGGATGACGAGGTGAAGAAGGTTTAGATGACGAAGAAGAAGAAGCCATGAATGGATCTCGATGACCTGCTTAGTCGGTTCTTGAAGAAAGTTTTCTGCCTTTTTTGGAAGATTCTTTGAATAATGACCTCACTGATCATAACCAGACTTTCTATAACCAATCATCTCATCCCTGATTTTGGAGTAATAAACTTTTTTAATCTTGATTATTTGAAATATTCACAAACTTCGTTTTTTTAAAAAAAATTATAATAAAAAATTTGATAAGAAATTTGAAATGATAATTGAGAACATAATAAATAATCTTAATAAATAGTATTAATAAATAATATAAAAGTGATTTGAAAACCAATGTAGCTCCTGAGTCGGCATGCGCCTTGGTTTGGACGTCGGGTGGTCAGTCGTTTTGTAGCTCGTTTTGTAGTTCGTCATTTGGGTCGTTTGCTTTGTCGCTTTGGTGGGGCCCGTTATCGGACTGGGGTAGGTCGCCTGGTGTGGCCGGTGGACGGCGGGCCGGTGGGCCGATTTGGGGGTCGGATCGAGGTTAGGTATTTGGAGTGGTTGGTGGGTCGGCTGGGTTTCCGGGTGTTCGGTTTGGTGGGAGGTTGGTTGGTGGGGCGGGTTATCGGAGGGCTTTTTGTGTGCTTTGGGGGTCGGTTGGGTGGCCGTTGTGCTCGTTTGATCGGTCGGCTGGTGGGGCGGGTCCTCCAGCTGTTGGGGAAAGTTATTATCACTCCAGCCCTTGCGTTAGGGTAAGCAGCTGAAAAACCCACCACCCGATTTACGGCCCGAACGACTCCCCGACCAAGCAGCGGAGACGTCCCGAACTATTCAAGTAAAGTATGATCTAATATATAATATTTAAGTAGGGTATATTTAAGGGCCCCTGTTTTGGCTCCCTTTATCCGACAAGGTATGTCCCAAAAATATTTTAATTTTTGCACGGTGTTCTTTATATTGCTTAATTTAAAATTTGGTATGGTATTTTAACTTTATAATGCAAATATTTTTTAGAACTGGCAACTTTATATTTTGTACAAGTAAATCACTTCAAATTAACAAATATATTTACAAAAACACAACTGACAACAACCCCAAATATCCCAAGTATACCTGACAGCATTGGTTTGCAACGACGAAATTACCCATACTCCACTACAATGTTCCCCAAAAGGATAGCTGCCCCCCCTCCCCAAAAATGTACAGTAACAAGGATTCCAACATTTACCAAAGAAGCTTCCTGACGGTAGTAATGAAGTTTCCCCATTGCTGTGCTGACCGGGCCTTCCTCCGTACTCGGTCGGGCGAAAGCCAGAGGCATTAACTCTGTAAAAAGTTGCAGAGAAGTTGGTCTTGCCGGAAGGACGTTTGGACGGGTACAAGATTTGGAGGATGTAGATGACTCCCGCGTTATGGCAGCCTGCATGTTTCCACTGTTGACCGTAGTTGCTGCTTTTTTTCTTTGCCTCAGAACTTATATACCAGAAAGATGCAACTTTGGTAATCTATAAATAGATGGAAAAGGCAGATACACACAAATATTTTGTAGAAGCATTGTTTAAACATATGAATAGATGTATTCCGGGATAGGATGCGGACAAGAGATTGGTTATAAAGTTAGTGGTTGTGCGTACGAGACGAAAGCAGTTTCCTCTGTTGAGGGTGCTTAAAGATGGTTTTAACTAAATAATTACAGACCAAAGCAGTTTCCTCCGTACTTGCTTTACCTGATTTCTCTAAACCGTTTGAACTTGATGTGATGCCTCTGGTGTAGGTATTGGCGCCGTCCTCTCGCAAGAAAAGAAACTTGTTGCATTTTTCAGTGAAAAGCTACATGGCGCTGCGTTGAATTACTCAACCTACGATAAGGAATTGTACTCCTTAGTGCGGGCGCTGCAAACATGGCAACATTACTTACGCCCTCGTGAGTTGTTGTGTATACTGATCATGAATCCCTCAAGCATATCAAATCCCAAAGTAAGTTGAGTACGAGACACATCCGATGGATCTCCTTCATTGACACCTTCCCCTATGTTGTTAAATACAAAAAGGGTAAGGAAAACATCGTTGCGGATGCATTGTCACGCATGTATGCACTTGTTACCACACTTGAGTCTAAGCTATTAGGTTTTTCGTATTTGAAAGAATTATATGCAACTGACCCTGATTTCTCCGATATATTTGCTAAGTGTAATTCTCATGCATTTGAAAGGTATCTTGTACATGAGGGGTATTTGCTGCGAGAAAATAAATTGTGCGTTCCTAATGCTCCTTGAGAGAATTGTTGATTTGGGAAAGTCATTCGGGGGGTTTGATGGGACACTTTGGTAGGAACAAGACACTTAACTTGCTGCAAGAACATTTTTTTGGCCACGAATGAAAGCCGAAGTTGAAGCCGCAATTCGTCGGTGTACAACGTGCCTCTCGTCGAAGTCTATTGTTCATCCACACGGTTTGTATACTCCGGTACCTATTCCTGAATCCCCTTGGGTTGATATTTCTATGGATTTCATATTAGGTTTTCCTAGGAGTAGGTCTAGTAAAGATTCAATATTTGTTGTGGTTGATCGATTTTAAAAAAATGGCACATTTTATTCCATGCACAAAAACCACTGATGCTTTGCATGTTGCTTCATTATTTTTCAAAGAGGTTCTTAGATTGCATGGTGTTCCACGATCCATTGTTTTTGATAGGGATTCTCGATTTTTAAGTTATCATTGGAAAACACTTTGGGCTAAATTAGGTACAAAACTAATGTTTTCCACATCACACCACCCTCAAACTGATAGTCAAACAGAAGTTGTTAATCGAACTGTGGGTAGCTTGTTACGTGCCTTAGTTAATGAGAATTTGAAGAGTTGGGAAGAATGTTTAGCTCATGCTGAATTTGCATATAACCGTACGGTTCATAGCTCTACGAATTGTTCTCCATTTGAGGTTGTTTACGGTTTTAACCCATTAACTCCTCTTGATCTTATGCCATTGCCACGCAATGAGCACGTTAGTTTGGATGGCAGAAAAAGGGCTGAATTTGTACAACAACTTCATTCTCAAGTTCGGGATAACCTAAGAAAGGCAGCTGACAATCACGCAAAACAAGCTAACCGTGGGCGCAAGAAAGTTGTTTTTGAGATAGGAGATTGGGTTTGGCTACACTTAAGGAAGGAAAGATTTCCAGAATTGCGAAAGTCAAAACTTACTCCCCGTGGCAATGGACCTTTTCGAGTGTTGGAACGCATTAATGATAATGCCTACAAACTTGAACTCCCAGGTGAGTACCAAGTCCATGCTACTTTTAATGTTTCTGACTTAAGCCTTTTTGATACAGCGGATGAATATCTTGTTCGGGAGAACAAGAAAGCTTTTCAAGAATGAGGGAATGACAAGGACGTCCAATCTTCAAGCATTCAAATGTCCGTGGGACCCATCACTCGAAGTCGAGCTCGTCAATTTCAAAAATCCGTCACTGCATTGATCAGACGATTTTTCATGGAGAATCAATTTAAGGATGATGCTTGGAGACCACTTAGCCCTCACCTGACGCTCCTTCAATGGGACCCGCAAGAATCCCAATTGAAAGATCAAGAGAATCGCT